GATAAAGATTAGATTGTTAAAAAAATTCATATAAAATGGTTTAACATGAAGTCATTCAATTTGTTGTTCTAGAACGATTTGATGTTTTGTTTTGTCAACTGAAGCTTATTACAGTTAGAATTTATACTTCAGAAAAAAGGGGCAGATATGAGATTTTTTTCTCCTCTCTGCCACTTTTCATTTCATTTTATTTTCTTTTTTATTGTACATATGATTTTGTTTTTATGGAATGAATAAAGTTTGAATAATAAAATAACTTAAAATCAGGCAAACAAACATGTATTTGTCAGYATTAACAACAAAGCAGCCTTTTCATTTATTCTCACTTTGCTTTTTAAAAACAAAATTGCCCAAACTCAYGACATTCTTGACTCAAACACGACTTGAGATTAAAATAACGATGACTCTAAATCTGAACTGGATTAAACCCAGCAGTCGCTTGTCTGAGTCCATTAAGTGCTGCTGCTTTTATCAGAATTATTAAATATTTGACTGGACTGAAAACTGGAAGAGTGGCGGTCTGATTCCACCCATACCCTGATTAGAATTTCTCCCTTTTAGAAACATGTTGAAACTGTCTCGTGTTGCACATGAACAGAGGTCCTATGTGAGCTTCTCCTCGATGTTTTGGTGATAAAAATGGAGAGCAGACGGTGGCTCGTCGCCACGCAGCTGCAGGATTCCTCCTGCCGATCCAATCTGCGTTCTTTCACTCCTCGCTTGTGTCCTTTTTGCTGGTCTCCTGTCCTTCAAAGATGGGGTACTTGCTCTCCACCTCGGCCCAGGTTAACGCACCGTTGGCCAAATCCCGGACAATCTCGGGCAGCTCGCTGACCTGAGGAAGAGGAGCGTTCACACCACGATCACAAATAAACGAGTGTGTTCTGGAGAGAAAGCGTAAATCCTCAAAGCACTGCCGTACCTCGGCCCTGATCTGCCTCATGGAGTCGCGGTCCCTCAGAGTCGCCGTGTGGGGTGTCTTGTTCACCGTGTCAAAGTCGATGGTGATGCCGAACGCCACCCCGATCTCATCCGTCCTGGCGTAGCGCCTGCCGATGGACCCGGACGAGTCGTCCACCTTGTGAGAAATGCCGTTTTTGGTCATGGCCTCGGCTGAGGAGAAGAGAGAGGAGGGGAGTGAACCGAACTGCAGCGTGCAACTCTCAGAGACAGAGACGCCGAGTCGAGACTTACACAACTCCTTCACGAAGGGCATGAACTCCTGATTCTGGCTCAGAGGTAGGACAGAACATTTGTAGGGAGCTACAGTAGCTGGGAAGCTAAAATACTGTAAAAAAATAACATTAAGTCAATTAACATTTACAGAGAAGCTCTGATAGAGAATAAACAGAACAGTTACACTGTTGGAAACTCCTCAGTAAGAAAAGTAGTTTTCCTTAAAGTCACTATAATTTACAGCGGTCTCCTCTCTGCTCTGACAGCTGCAGCTGCGCGAGGCTTCATGAGTCGCGCTGCTTCTGTGCTCTAGAAAGRGGAAGGGGCTTCCAGCTCCACTCCCTGAGGAAAGAGCTTTCACACAAGTCTCAAAGAACAATAAATAAAAGCTGCATTTAATGATTACAGCTCCCAACATCCCCTGTTTAAAATTTAATTAGACAAGAGTTCTTGAGTTTTTATGGTTTTGCACCTTGTGAATTCYTGCATTTTAATGTTTGTTTTAAATTTAAAAGGGATCCATGATTAGTTGTAACATTAGACTTTATTTGATAAACATTTATTT